TAACATGAAGTTTTTACATGCATTGACATACAGTGTTTATAGCAAAATATCAGGAACTATGAAAAACTCGTTTTGCACAGAGATGTTAAATTTCAATAAATGTACTATGCAAATAAAAATTTTTGTGCTGAAACTAAGTGCCAGACTTTTACAATAGGATGATGCTGGTGTATGCCTGTATCCCCTGTGTGGGTGATAGAGCAGTCTAACTTCCTCATTTGCATGAACTAGGCATGTTTAATTTGATAGGTAGATAATCCACAAGACCTTGTGGCTCAATTTCTAACAACCTACTAGAAAGTTTAGTTTTAACTCTGCATCTGGGAAACCTTCTGGAAAATATAAGACAACCAAACCCTGATGTAATTTTGTGAAAAACATGTTCTTTGCCCTCTGTGGTTTGCATGCAGGTGTTTGATGCCTTGTGATTTTACATACAAGTTAAACCTGCTAATGTGTCTGCTCTGTGGTGTTGTATGTAGGGTGAAACATACGGCAGCCCTCAGGAACTCCTGCAGGCTCTCCAACGTCAAGGACAGGCCTTTAGATAATTTATAGGCCATTTGATTACGTGTGTTCTGATGATGGAGAAAGATCTTTTTCATCCCCCGGTCAGGGGGAACTGTGTTAAAGGCTTGAAATGTCTACCTCCCACCACCATATGGTTTTGAATCATTTGTACTTAATGGAGTGTTGTGGGAAAAATAACTTCTGTATTTGGACTAGTGAGACAAAAGCAGTACCTTCTTCCCTTCTGAGTACCACAGTGGTCTTTTTGGTTGTATAAATGATAATTCTGGGGACTACAAACTATAGAAAAATGTCTGGTCAAAAAGTTTGGTAAATCAGTAGCCCCAGAGGCTACTTTGCTTCGCTGAATTGTAGTTTCATCAGTTCTTTTGTAAGGATTAAGTGACTCTGCAGTATTTAACCATTTTATATTCGGATTTTTAAATTGAAGAATTGTGACAATATGTTTTTGAGTCCAGTTGATTCCCCTTCTGCTGGTGAAAAGAGCTGATGCTACTTTATTACTGGTCATTGCTTCTTTTTTACTCCTATGTTAACATAGTCCCACAGTATTACAGCAACCTAGTGATACAGTTTTCAGGTTTGTTCTTTTACCTGGATTGTAAAGGCATATTTAGAAAGTAGCTTGCTTCCTTGTTCGTTGCATTCACTAACAATGTGATATCCTGCTATGATTCTGTTCTGAAGTACTAATTATTTCAAAAATTAACGTATTTCCATTTGTTTTATATAGCTTCATGCAGTTGTCATTGTGTGCAGTCTGTCTAGTATGAATGTGTTTCTCTTTTTCTCATCTGGTGTCATATGAATTTTACAAAGTGCTACATAGATGTACACATACCTATATAAGTATCTGTGACACATTTATTTCCATACTATGTGGCATTACAAATATCAAATTTATTTGAAGATAAAGATTTATTTGTGTCTTACATTTACATACAACATGCTGGAAATATATAATTTCAGGTGAAAATAACTTTATAATTTTTCTTACAGTGTGCAGACTAAGTAAAGGTATACAAGACTTCTGTATTTGAAGAACCTTGCAGAACACTGATGAAATACTTGCTTTACATTTCAACACTGATTAATTATAAGAATTCAAAAGCTATGAACAGGCATCTTTGACCTTGACTGGAGTTTGGTCTTCTCTGTCGAGTGCAGGACTCAATTCTAGAGGAAGAGTTTGCTCACTCTTCTATTACATTCTCTTTTTATTGCTAGCATCATTCTCCATTCAAATAGGGAGCAGTATCTTGAACTTAATGCATGGTTACTATAACAGGATTGACTGAAAGCAGCTAAGAGGTTGAGTACGTAAACTTTAAATTTGCTCTTCAGCTGTTCTTTCTCATCTTCATTTACCTTCCTTGCTTTCCAGACAGGAAATGTACCTAGCCAAGCATGCAGGCACGCACAAATACCTCAGAATCTTCCAAATTAAAAGTGAAACTTGCATTTAGTACGTTGTATAACTGCAGGTATATCAAATGTACATGAAATCCTGTCCTAATTTCTGTGTCATATCAGTATGTCCCAATTTTAGTGTTATTCACAGCCTGGTTTAGAGGCCGATATTTGTTCTAGAGAGTTTGATATCCTTTGTAGTTTGAATTTAGAGACACAGAATTATGAGGAAATGGTCCTCATAAATTTGTTTTTGCAATGTTAGTATTTTTATGAAATAGAAGTGTGTGTACTGGATCTGTGGCCCTTTGTGGCTTCTGTGTTTTCTACCATGTTTTCACCTCCTAAATCTCATTATATGACAGCTGAAGATAATTGTCACTTTGAGATATCATTTTCCATAGAAGAAATTAGAAGAGCAGAAGTCGAGGGAAGTTGATAGGGATCTTCTGTGTCTGCAAGCATAACCTGTTCTACTGAGCACTACTAAGAAACTTATTCCTTTGTGGCATGTTAGCATTTCTTCTGCTGTCAGGTGAATACGTTACCAAGTATGTATTCCATAATGACATCTTAAAGGTTTTAAAATCTCTGTGATTAAATAACATTTACTTGTGTCAAAATTTTAAGATAAAATTTTAATGCCTGTGTTTAACTCAACATTGTTCTATCCTCATGTTTTAAATTTAATCAACACCTATGGTATCATTTTTCTTGAATTACCTTTCTGCAAATAGGATTATTTTTGAAGTCTGTGAAGATGGCAGGTAAAAAGGGAGGACAAAAGACCATTGCTTTTTTTCAGCAGATTCTGAAGCTTTAAAAGAAATTTTGAAACACTGCCATCTTGACATGTATTTGATATGTATATGTATCTGGGAGTTGAAATATTTATTTCTATTGTTCATTTATTCTTTGGAAACCCCCACAACATTTGTGAGATTTGGTACTATATCTGTTTTTCAGTCAAGCTCATTACTATTCAGCTGTATTCTGGGCATTCCAAACACCTGGTCTTCTACTAACTGATGTAGCTCTACTGTGATCTCACTGACAGCATTTATACACTAATCACTGGAGCCAAATGCACTTGAGACTTACTGTACTTTGAAGGTTTGGCCCTTCATACCCAATAGTAAATTTGCTAAGTGCATTCTTTTGGTAATACATACATACATACGCACACACACATAAATTTGCCTTCCAGTATCAATTTGCATACCTAGTATGCAAATTTGCAGTTCGCAGAACGACCACAGGTCAAAGGAAGTGTATGTGCTCATGTTGCATATATTGAATTCACTGAGTGCTTCTGCAGATTAATTCAATGCTGTGTTTTTAATGTCTTTAATAGGATCACAGTGAAGGTTAAGAACTACCTGTAAGTGTGGTAGCTTGAACTTGTCCAAGTGTCAGACCCCCACTCTGCCGTTCACCTCCTACCCCTTTTTCTTCTCTGACCTTTGCATTTACAGGATTGTTTCTCACTTTTTTTCCCTCACTTTTCACTGCCTGGGCAGCATTTTGCCCTTTCTTAAATATGCTTTCACAGAAGTACCACCACTTTCAATGGTGAGCTCAGCTGTGTCCTGCAGTGGCTCCACTGCAGAGCAGCCCCTGACCTCTTCCTGCATCCCCGCAGTACCAAAATGTTGTCACTGACACCCACTACAGTAGGATGGAAGGCAACAATATTAAAGGATGAAAAATGGGTCCACAAATACAGAAAATTGTTTGGTTTTATTTCTTACTATGATTAAATTCTTTCTTTTAGTACGAGTTCAACTACAATAAAATTAATTTGTGATTACCGTTTTTCTAAACAAATGACTGGAGCAATTTTCTGAAAGATAAACTGAAGGTATTGGGAGAAGGACACAGAGTGTATTTTCAATCTCTAGAAAATATATGCAGAGATTAGGCTTGTATTTTTAAACTCTTAGAAGATACAAAGGGGGAGAGAGCAGCACAGATGAATAATTGGTTTTTTTTCTGTATATGATGTGCTGAAAATACTTTTCTTATGTTAAGGAGAGCATTCTTTGTGTACTTTTCCTTCTCACTATTTTTGAATAACCTATTTTTAAAAACATTGCAACAGAATTATTATTTCATTGTACATATTTACTGAACAGCCTGGTTTAGATTTGGACTATAGTTGAACTGATGAGAATATCTTCTCCTGTCACTGAGATTGTATCTTTGTCATTATTGGTTATGTCCGTTTTTGGAAAGCTGCCTATTTGCAACTTCTCGCATACTGCTACTCTTTGCTAGTGACAAATACTGTTTGATTCAGTATTTATTTAGTAAGTCATCAGGAACATAATTTATTAAACTGTGAAGTGTTTCAGTATCTTTTCTCCTGGGTGGCAAATCGAAGGCCTTGTTTGTGCAAGAACCAATATGTGCGTTTAATTTTCAGCTCCCTGGCTGCCTGGGCTGCTTTCATATTTGCTGGCCTTTACTTTTTGGATTTTCACCATGAGATATCCTTTCATGTCTTTGTGCAGTTTCTTATGTAGTTTTGCATTTTACATTGATCTGTATTATGCCTGGAGCTCGAAGAAAGCTTGGGTAGTCCTACAGAAGTTATAATACTACCGTAACTGAAGCATGAATATGATCTAGGGCAGTTTTAAAATTCCATCATGGAAAGTGTTTTCAACTTGCAATTTAGATACCCATTCTGAAAACACTTCCTTAATTTTTTTCTAAATTTTATGAACTTAGCAATTGATTTTGAAGGGGTAATGCTTAATTGATCCAGAGTTCTATCAGCAATTTCAAAGAAAATATGAGGAATTCTTAGCAAATAATATGTGGAAATTCAGTTTCATGCACAGTTTTTAAAATAGTGCATGAAAAAAATCTTTTTTGTCTTAAACAGAGTTATTTTTCACTTCATAGTGATGTAGCAATGTCATTTTCTGAAATGGCATATTTATGCTGGTTTTGGTGATCATTGGCAGTTCTGAAAACTATGATGTTTTAAAATAGAATTATAACAAGTTTTGTTAATGACATACTAAAGTTAACCTTATATTTTATTATTTCAGTTGTTCATGGTGGACAATGGAGCAGATGACTGGAGAATAGCCATGACTTATGAACGTATTTTCTTTATCTGCTTGGAAATACTGGTGTGTGCTATACATCCCATACCTGGGAACTATACATTCACATGGACAGCCCGGCTCGCCTTTTCTTACGCTCCATCCACAACAACAGCTGATGTGGATATTATTTTATCTATACCTATGTTCTTAAGACTATATCTTATTGCCAGAGTTATGCTTTTGCATAGCAAACTTTTCACTGATGCCTCATCTAGAAGCATTGGAGCATTAAATAAGATAAACTTCAATACCCGTTTTGTTATGAAGACTCTAATGACAATATGTCCAGGAACTGTACTGTTGGTTTTTAGTATCTCATTATGGATAATTGCTGCATGGACAGTCCGAGCTTGTGAAAGGTAAGGTTGTTTTGTTTGTTTAGTTCTTTCTGTCTGTCTTTTTATTTTTCTCTCTTGTTTTACCTCTTCAGTTTTGGAATCGGTGGACCTAAATATTTAATGGAGTGGAGCTTCTAGGTCCTTGATATTTTGAGTGTTTGTTTGGTTATATTCTGTGTTGTAAATTGTTAGGACTGTTCTGCCATTTAATCTGAAGGACTCCTGCAGAGAGGTTTGTGCCATGCTGCTTGCTGTAGCATTGTGTTTTGTTTCTGTGTTTTGATATAACTTCAGGTATGTTTGTTAAAACACAGTGGACAGATGACAAAAAATGCCTTTTAAGAGTAGTTGTTGATATTCCACATTGATATCAGTTTTCATTTATTTGGTTTGTAAGTTAAGCTTAGTAAGGGTAAGGTAGATAAAATAGAGCTATAAAATTCCAATGAAAAAATGTTTGGGTTTTTGTTTTTACTTTGAGTTTTATTGTGCTGTAAAAAAAAAAATTAAAAAAAATGAGGAGTTGGCAAGATCAAAAAAGGGGAACAGGAAGAACAATTGCAATAATATAACATCTCCTAAAAATCAGAAAAAAATGCATTTGAGAGGCAGAGTTTCATTAATTTCATCCAGTTTTCCAACCTCCCCCTCCCACAGACTTCAGTGTAGGTGAAAAATAGGGCTATCAGTGCCGAAAGCTTGAAACTGGATTTCTGAAACATACCTTTAACAAAAAAGAAATGAGCTTCTGATTGGTAGGATTGCTTAGGAATATCAGATAGGTTACCTCTAAGGAGACAGTTAGGATGATTATCTATGAAAGATTTAATGCCTGGGACAACTTTTAGATCCTGGAATTAATTTATCCTTTCTTGTAACAGCTCTTATAAGCTGAGTGTAAAGATCATGTTTATGGTGTAGTTTTTGTCTTTAAAACTGCAGAATTGTGAAACGGCATTTGCTACAGTAGAAGCTTTGTGTCAATGTTGTTTTCTCATCTTATGGCAGGACTAATAATTTTTAAATGTTCTGAAAATGTCTTGTTAACAGTGACATATTATAGTTTCAAAATATTCCCCACAGTATGAGGAGATGGAGAGCTGTAGATACTGACTCAGTCTTTAATAGTTGTGTTTTAATAATTATATTCTCATTTCAGATGCAACTGACGTCTGCAAAGCCTCTCCTCTTTGTCTCATATTCTTCACCTTTTATCTCATCAATCTTCTTTCAACAAAATTACTGTTCAGGAATTCCTGAGTGTCTACTCAGGCATTTCCCAAATTGTCACTTGTGAAGTGGCTCTAAATGTATTCCAGTGTTGCTGTCACTGTTTTACATATCACCGCTTTATAATCTGTATTGTTTTTGTTATTACTGTTATTGCTATTATTTAAAAGTAGCATTAAATAGTCATTATGTTATTAACTTTTTAATAGATGCACATTCAAAATAAGCTCACAAAACTTGAGCTTCTCACAGTGAAAATTACTGAAGAATATTAACTACTGTCTGATATGTGTTTGTAAAATGTAAGTTAGCGTAGAGATGGCAGGACAAGAATATGTAGAGTATAAGTAATACCATAAGTAAAAGCAACAAAGACTACCTCACCCATTTTCCAATCAAGGAGAGTGAAGACAACAGTATCACAAAATATTTTAAAATCCATTTCTTTCATCTGCTCTTGAGTTGATTTTTTTTCTCAGTTTTAACTAGAGGGAGTCTTCATTTGTTGGAGTGAACTATTTTATGTACACAAAATGATTCTGAAAACAAAACATCATTAGGAGGCATATTTGCTATTCCACTTGATACTATATATAAAACCCCTAATGAATTTTGATACATTTAGCAGAAATTAGGAATTAGGCATCAGTGTGGTAGCTTTGTTTTTGTGAAAAAAAGGATTTACATGACTGAAATTTGATGGTGTTAAACAGTTCTCAGTATTGGTCTAGCACCAAGATCTTTAATTTATGCTCTGTAGTAGTTTTACAGAAAGCTTTGCACTAGCAGTTTTGCTATTTCTTCAATGCATTGAATCAGTTATCTGGCCATCCAAATTGGAACAAGATAATGATGATAAGATTTAATAGATTAAAATATTAAAACTTGGGAGTAGAGATGAAACATTCTCATGCTATTCCATGTCCTTGATGAGGGGGGAAGTCTCAGTAGGCAGATCCTTACTGTGAATTTGTGTGTGCTCAGCAAAAATGGTTGCTGCTGAATGACAGCCTGATTTGAAGACTGTTGTTCTATTCAAAGTCAGATTTTTATCATTGCAGGCTATCCTGGGAACAGGAGGGGGGATTTGGAAGCACCGAATTTCACAGTAAGGAAGGTAACATCAGTGATCATCATTAATCACCTCTGTAAGGAGAACCCTGTAGAGACAGGTTATGACTTGAGGCAGGAGAATTGACTATGTGAATAAAGACTTCACTACTTTAATGTCTGACTGATGAGTTGACATACACTGAACCATGGCTGGACATGTCTCTTTTTCAGTGCCTTAATGGCTTATATTGTTAGCTCCTAGTATGCTAATTATAGCAAGTGACACTTTGGGTTGGTGGTCAAGGTATTTTCCAGGATTGCAATTTAAGATAATCCATGAGGGCAGAATGTGGTACAGATAATGATGGTGGATACCCAGAAAAGTGTAAATGGGCTGCTAGGGCTGCAGAGCAATGTGACTGAGGGAGTTTGGGAGGAAAACATGGGGAAAGCACAGCAACTCTTGCTTTTTTAGGGCTTAGGTTTTTATGGCTGTTTTGAGGGGGCCATTATATTACCTAGGTATTAATATCTGCCTTTTCATTGCCAGCATCCATGTATTGTTGTCTGTCATACGTGGGCTTCACAATGAAAATCTAAATATTTTATTAGGTCTAACTCAATAATGTCTGTGCTTATAACATCTCTGAGGCACACAATCTAGAACGCTTATGAATATGTTACTTTCTCATATGAATTATGAGCCCTGTAAGCAGATTACTTTTTGCAGTGTCCCATACTGATCTTGTTACTGAAATAGCTCTGTGCTTGGTTGACAGTTGTTTATAGCAGTTAAAATAGAAATAATTGGTTTCTCAATTGAAAAAAAAGAAAAAAAAAAAATCCCAAACCTCCCGTTAATCTATATAGCATTATGTCATTGAAAAGCTTGAAATATTTGCTTTGCTCTTCTGGGGAAAAACCTGTCTCTGCTGTGAGAAGTGTGCAGCTTTTCTAAGTTACTTGGAAGGTAGTCACCCTTGTTGATCCTTTTTTTTTTACTATTATTTTCTTCTTTGCAAAGGAAGAAAGAACTTTGCCTTCTGAATGCACATAGAGCTGTAACATGCCTGTGTATCAGGGCAACATGAGCCACATGTGCCCATGTTAGACTTGTATAGAACGGCTTATATCACATAGCCAGAGTTGTTGTGGATTTACAGCAGCAGAATGAAGAACAGAGGTGGATTTTCTGCTTCAGAAAAAATTTGGCACCATTTTTGGTTCTCTTTGTACCTCTCTCTAGCTTCTGGCAATGAAGTTAGTTCAGATTGACTGATTCATTTAGTCAGCATTTCTTCAGCATTGTTCTGTATTCTTTCTCTGCTTTAACAAAACCAAAACCAACCAACCAAGAAACACCCCCAAAAATCCATCTGTGTGTGAAGATGAAATCCTTTTCTGCTCTTCACTCATTCTTGTCTTTTTACAAATAAATAAATACCTGTCTTAATTTGTGGAAATATAATGCCATCACAAAGCTTCCAGTAAGCAACTCACACATGACAGCTACTAGGCAGATGTTAGGGATTCATTCGTTACAAGCAGAGGGATGAACCCAGACTTTAATTTGTAATTCATGCAAGAAAAAATGTTTCTCAGCTGTTGGATTTCATCGCAGTGTTTGTTTGACTTCTTTGATTGGCTTGAGGACCTTATCTGAGGTTTTACGCTGCATGTATAATCCCAAAGCCACACACCACTGAAAATTGCTGTTATCAGTCTCTGCAGTGCCAATGCGCAGATTCTTGCTAGTAGTTTAAAAAAGGAAAACAAACCAAGCTTGGGTATTTAGTTTTAAACCTATTTTTAGCCCCAAAACCTCAGAAACAATGACATATCTTTTTTTTTTTTTCCCCCTCTAGCTAATGTCTAATTACTGTCAACAGATCAAATAATGTTTGTGTTTTGACACTGCCTGTTTTAAACTGCCTGTTTATCACAGTTCTTTACCTTCTCTTGGCTCACTGATACTAAAACCTACTACTTAACATCAGGTTTCTCCAGTAGTGGTGAAGACAGTGATCAAACATCATCATTTTGACTTGAATCTGTACTATGAATGAGTGATTTTCTGCCTTCTAGTGTTAATTGCTGATCTTTCAGACTGAGTAGACTCACTGTAGATGTTAGGTTGCTCTTTTATGATATTTATATCTGAAAACAACTCATAACTGAAATCAGATGTAACTGATTGCATTTTCACTGCAAACATTGCCAGTAGACATCAGATATATTGTTTTATTAACCACAAAAAGGCAACAAGGGAGTCTGTCACAGAATTATATCAGTGAATGTCTGACATAAGTAACCCAGATCCAAAAAAGAACAATTGATCCAAATAAAAAAAATGGCTTGCTAGGTGTATCCAGGAGGATTAATAGATAAAAGATGTCAGTGTAAATTGTCTTCAGCTGCTTGAAGACAAAACAGTTAATGCACATTTAATGGAAGAAGCAGAGGCTCTTATTATAATGCATGTAAAGTCTGATTGCTATTCTTTTAAATTTATGTGTTCATTCCCTTTAGAACAGTGCTGTTTATGTATTCTCAGAAAAAGAATTTTGGGAATACAAGAACGTATTCTTCAGTTTGTTTGGATTTGTAGAATTAGTCTTATAGGTATGGAAAGTAACAATAACAAGTGCAGCAACTCGGTGTATGTAGTCATCCTTTCACAAAAAATTATCAAGCCAAGACAGAGCAGTGTTTCTTCAGCCCAAAAATAGAAGACCCAG